ACGTGTGTATTTTTCCGAGCAAATATGCTTTTTTTAATTCTGAAAAATGAAACAGTGAATTTTAGGAGAAATTATACAATTTTACATACAATTGTCCGCAAGATGAAAAAAAGCCACACGAAATAATGGACAATGTGTTATTGAATAAAATTTTCGTTATTTACAAAAAGGTGTCCATTATTTTATAAAAAATGCAATATCACTCGTGGAACAATATCTACAAAATCAAGCCATTTCGCGTATTGTTTCATGTTGGCCAACCCGTTTGCGTCACAACTTAAATTACACATTATATAGCTTATCAAATCTCATTTTAAATATTTACTATTCAATGAAATATCTTTCAAAGAATATTTTACGTAATATTATATGGGAAGCTCATGATCTGATCGGTGTAAGTTACTTTTGATTAAAAACAATTTATGCTATGAAAACTCCCTTCAATCGACAGAATAATTGTTATTATATCATATCATTGTAATATAATTATCAGAATATAATAACCAAAAGTATTAAAAACATTATCAAAACATATAGATCCTCAGAAATAATAACTAAATTGTTTCATCGGCTAACAATTTTAATAAAAAAAAAAATAAATTTGCGTGATACAAGCAGTTTTTTAATAACAAGTCACTCACGCTAAATATATTGATTAATATAAAGTATTCATACATTCCTATATATTAATAAATACAAGCCTGTATAAGACTTTTAATCGCAGGTCGCGAATTTTTATTTCTGCCGAATATTTCGCTTCGCGATGAATGGATTGATGAACAGGTATCATAGAAACCTCGGGCGCTAAATTTTACAAATTCTACAGCTTCGAACGTTTTGATTTGAGCCCGAACGCGAGTGTTATATAAATACGGATTGAGCTTGAAGCAACATTCAACGCGCAGCTAATGAAAGAATTTATGGCGGTCGATCTTGTCGAATGGGACAAGGGAGATTCGAGCCAGGTCACGTTTTACGTTGATCCTGCTAGCAGAGATTTTCTATGTGCGTCCGAGTCTCTATAATCTCTGGCGAATACACCGGTCGACGTTTTCGTTCTTTACGAGCTGCCTCGATCGAAACGGCGAATTATTTGTCGCTCGAAGCGCTGTGTCGCTCGTTAGAACGCGAGTCGAGAGTTGTCGCTTCGCAACGGAATGTAACGGGAAGCTTAACTGATAAGAGGGTTACGTAAGTGAAACGATATTAGAAGCATAATTCACCGTGTAATATTGACCCCACGTGGTTAAACGTTAACGTACTCCCAGCAGTGTACTTTTGCCAACGGGCGCTGTTGGTTGCGGTTCTAAATATTAGTTTCCAACTCGTTCCGCCCGACGACGGTGTATCGAAGAAAACGAGAACGAGTTTGTGCGTTGTAAAACGCACGACGACGACGAGGAAAATAGAGAGAGAGAGAGAGAGAGAGAGAGAGAGATCTAATTAACTATGATTGACGGGCAATTTATTCTGTTTGCACAATCCGAGGCGGCGCCGTCAATCACAACAGGCGTGTAACAGTCGCCTTTATTTTACTGTGAAACGCCACACGCCACACGGGATCAATATTACGAAGGGTATGTCCATTGTTAGACGGCCTATGGGTCTTGCATCGCGTCAAAGGGCGCATTTAATTAGCACCTATCGCGCCCCTCGATGCATCAGATCCCGCAACGCTTGTTTGATTACGCAGTCGCGATACCCACGACTAGCTAGTGGAACGACAAGGTAATTGCAAACGGTTGCAGCGGTTTGAAAAATCGTCGGCGATGAAAGCGATCAGAATTCGCGAAAGGCAGGGTCGTTAAGCCGTGTGTGTCTGTCAGCTCTGTAGGATACTCGTTTTTGTCGTAGATTTCTTTATCGACTCTTCCGCGGGAGATGGTAATCTCTCTCTCTCTCTCTCTCTCTCTCTCTCTCTCCCGCGTTCTGAATTTCACTCCACGAACCAAAGGAAGGGCGAATCGAAAGTAAATAACGCGAGTGTATCGCGCGATCGACGTATCAACGAAAGATAAGGCGAGATAAGGGGAGACCGGATGTGGGAAACGAAAGACTCAAGCGAGTGTCTGCGAAGGTAACTACGTAGATTTTGGGACTTTCAAACGATAGTTTCAAACTATCGTAATCAACTCGTCCTTCTTTCTTAAAGTTTCTCGTTCTCGGGGCAGAAATCGTGGAACATAACGAGGAGTAGAAATCCCTAAAAGTCGGAAACATCGGGCGACGAGGAGGAAACGAGTCACGTCGGATGGAGTGTTTTGCTTTCCTGTTGCTCGATCGATGGCTCGAACAGTGTCTCCTGGACGTGGGACGTCGACTCTTACAAAAGATACGACAAATAAGAGTGACAAAGGCGTCGCGAGGCACCGTGTACACCGTGCGCGCGGCAATGCCGACAGCGCGCGATCAGACCGGTTTGACGTTCCCCTGTGGAATACGTGGTTGAATTTCATTCTGCTACGTGACGTTTTCTGTTTCCGCCTATTGTAAACGCTCCGTTCCGTATCGCGTTCAGAAGGCGCGGCTCGGTCACTCGGATTCTTAGTCTTGCACTATCGGCTCGAAAATTCATGGTCGTTCCACGATTGAAAAATCCACGCGATCGGGCGTGTGTGTATGTGTGTGTCGCGGAAAGAAAAACTTCACATTTCGAAAGAGGTATCCGAGACAATTTCTCCCGGCTTCTCTGCTCGCTTTAATAAGGGAATCGGCCAGACGTTGCGAGGCTGTTTACCGCGATTTGGTATTCTTATCTCAATAATGTTCCTTATTTGCGCAATATGGTAAAACGGCGGCCAGAGAGAGGCGTGCCCAGAAAGTTTTCATTTCCTCCGTCGCCGAGGAGAAATACGATTGTATCTTTGAGTAGGCGAGTAAAAAAGAATTTCATTTCCTCTCGTAAACCGCCCCCCTACCCTCTCTCTCTTTCTCCCCCTTTTCTCCCCCCCCCCATCTACCCACCCCCGGGGACAAGGAAAGCTATGATATATGCCTGCGCGCGGCGGAAACAAGTTTCTTTGAGCGAACTTACGGGGCTGAATCTGGGCCAGCCGGTATCGCGTTCGGCACAGATTTCAGAAAAACGTACGTAAGAAAGGGGAAGAAAGACGACGGATGCGTCCTTTGGAACGCTTCTTGCACAGTTTGCTACTTAACTGAGGTAAATGGGAACTCGGCGGCGTACGTGGAGATCTCCTTTTGTCTCCTGCCGTTGCAAGCTTCGTCGAGAGATTAACGAAATTAAAGAAACCGAATCGTCGAGAGAATTTTTGAGACACTATAGTTCAAATGGAGTCCAAACTTAAACCTGTTTGGATTACCCGCGACGACGATTCGGAATACCAACTGCAAAAACGGACGCCGTTTAAATAAAATAGCCCTGACGGAACGTCCATTCAAGATTCAAGAAAACGCAATTTATCCTTTCATTCAGGGAACCTACACCATCGTTCGAGTTCGTTTCAATTTTAATATCCGTCATCCCGCGGCAGTAACGCGATCGCGGAACCGATATTACCGCGAGGTAGTTCGGCGAATATAATTCAACTAGTCCATTCCGCGGCGCGGTAACTCGTAGCCAACGGCGAAGAAAAGAGAGGCGCGAGGATAGCTGCAGTCCCCCCTCCCATGGAGTTCTGTAAAACGTAAACGACGAAGGTAACGAGGATGGAGGCGGTGTGGAGCGCGTCTGGCCTGCGAAAGAAACGCAAGAAGTAGGAGAGAGAGGTCGAGGTTTCAGCGAACATCTGCCAAGCAGGCTGATTTCCAGCCGACGATAAGACGGCTGGAAACGCGGCCGAGCCGGCACACACAACCGCGCCGGAATTCATTAGTTAATCCTGCACGGGCAGCGCCATTTTCCATGGACCCTCCTCGTTTCGCAGAGCTCGCGAGCGCCGCGTCGGGGATTGTTGTCGTTGAAGAATTCAACGCGACGTTGCCCGCGTTTCGAATGGAAGAGGGAAAAATGTTTCCTAAGGACGGCCCGGGGGCGCGCGAAAGCGCGATCTTGAGGGAAGGTTGCCCTCCTCGAGCGTGTCTTCGCCCCGAGAGTGTGATCAATTGTCCGTCGTGCCAACGAAATTCGTCACGTGAAGGATGCACGTGAATCGACAACGCTATTTGCTTCATTCTCCGGTAAATATTGCTTATCTCTGAAAAGAGAGAAAAAGAAACGAACGGAAAAGAAATGAAAAGAAGACTGAATGGAGAGACTGTCGGACGAGTTACGTCTCTCGTAAATGGAGTTTACTCGTTTCGCGATAACGCGGCAAGGGGCGCGATAACATTGATAGTCTCGCGCTTATTACGTGACAACGTACACGTTGCATAACGTGCGATTTTCACCGCGCGTAGAACGGGAAATAGAATATTCGACTCCTCGTCCGACGATCTTATCGATGATTTCAGCGTCGTCGATCGATCGAATTCTCGAACGCGTTCAAAGCGATCCGAAAAACGAGTGCGTGCGTACATACGTATCCAGCTAGCCTGCAGGCGGTCTCTTAACAAGCTGTTTCGTTCGTCTCTCACGTACGAGTCGCTCGTAGGTATTCGCGAGGCCCGCAATCGGCTCGCCGCGAGTGCAAGCGCGTAGTACATCAATATGAGGATCGCGAGAAGAGATGCGTTTGGGCGCGACCGCGTGCCGCGACCGATGCTCCGCGCATGCGTCGCATTCCCGTTCCGTCTGTCTCTGTCGCACGCGCAGCGCGTGCGTGCTCCTCTTCCTCGCTCTTGCTCTCTTTCACTGCTCGACCAGACACTGGTGGGGATGGTCGACGTCGGTTGAAGTTCGCGGGGCGACGCGAGGGGCGAGCCTCGCGGCCGAATAGTGGGGAGGAAAGGGTCGCAGGGGCCGAAGGAGAAGCGCGTGCATGTCTGTGGAGGGGGGCGGCGGAAGGGCCGGAGAGTCCGGCGGTTGAGTGAGGCTGCTGGTGGGGGGACCCCGCTTGTCGGGCGATGCCACTCAACCGAATCCCCGCTCTGTCCTCGCGGCAGTCTGACGCCGGTCGCGCAGTCAGCATGGCTGGATTTTCTCGCAGTTTTTCGCCGGTTCTACCGTGTTCTACAGGCGAGCGCAGTCGGTCGTGTACTCGCGTCGCGGTGGTGCGTGCCGTCTGAGTGTGATCGTCGTCGTCGTTGTCGTCGTGGTCGTCGTGGTCGGAACTGTTCGAGACGATCGTGCGTCGGTGAACGCGTGCCTTTCCGACCGAGGGGAATCGAGAGCCGAGAACGAGCGCGAGCGAAAGAGACGCCAGACACACTCGAACCTAACCTCCAAAGACAAAGATGAGCCGAGACGTAGCTCTGCTGGTTTCGCGGTCGCGGTGACGCAGACTCTCGTCTATTTCTCGTATCGTTTGCAGCTCGTACCTCGTGGCATTTATCGAGACGGATAATGTGCCTGGTTGTCGCGTTCTCTTCTTGGTTCATTGTCTCGGTGTTGCGCGTAATATCGCGGTTCTCGTCGTGATCGCGCCTAAAGTGCCTCGCGTGACAGCCGTGCGTGCGGAGGAACGAGACGAGGACGGAGACCGCGAAAAGAACAAAAGAGAAACGGAGAAACCACTGTGCGTCCTGGTGTGAACGATTCGGTAACATTCCGGTCCCCGTGTTAACGTGCGAGAGGAACAGAGAATCTTTGGAGCAGGAAGGCATCCGGTGAAAACAGTGAAGAAAGAGAAGAGAAAGGACGTCTTGGCCATCGACGAACAAATCTTCACACTCAACAACGAGATAAATATTTCTCAGAAAACTGTTTCGTCGTACGTTGCTCGTTGGTGTATTTGTTTTGGAGTAGCGCCTCAACCATTCGTTTCCACGAATCGACTGTTTCCCTTCGCCGGTAAGTCGTAAAGCTATTCATCGTTGTCCTCTGTCATTGTTGACTGCGAGAGTTACAAAGAGTGAAAAGAAGAAAAAGGAAAATGGTAGTATCGATGGGGGGAATGTTTCCGCGTTTCGCTCGTGACAGAGAGGATCGCCTGCTGAGACGTCTTTACACTTTATGTACGACGTCTGGCCGTCGGCGTAATTCTCGCTCGGCAAAAAGAGACGCGAGCCATGTGTGTACGTCGGCCCGGCCGGAGTGTAAACAAGCGCGGTCCTTTTAAATGTCTACATATCGTGCTCCGTTGTTATCTGTCTGACGCAATTTCGTCCCGGTTTCCTCGTTGAAATTTATTCCCAGAAATTATGAGCGCGTGTCGAGCTCTCTCTCTCTCTTTCTCTCTCTCTCGGTAGTTGGCCTTTGTGATCGTTTGAATATTCCTGGGGGCTTAACTCTTCCCAGCTCCAAATCCCGTTCGGCATTCTATTTCAAGTGGTTCACATTCAATAAGGTATTTCCGATGGTTGTTTTACAATTTAATTGTACTTCCGTATCTTCGTTAACTGTGGCATACGTCTACATTTGTGGCAACGTATTGTTGTTGGATTAATACCTATCGTTCGTTGTCAATTTGTTTGTGTAAATAATCCTACCGACAGTATTACAGTTTAATTTGAATCTTATTTAACCTCTTGCGGTGGAATGACGCACGTCGAGAATTGTTTGTCTCAAAGTTGCAATATTTTCTGAGTTTTAAGAATACTTTGAGTATAACGCAGGGAAAACTTATAGTAATAAATTATAATAATTTATAGTATGTCGCTAATGACCTCGCTGTCGATGCGACATTAAAGAAAAATAGAAGAAGAAGAAGAAGAAGTAATAAATTTATATTTATAGTATATTTATAGTAATAAATTTATTACTTCTCAATTTCCATCCAATGATATCATATCGACGAGTTCAAAAAGAAAGCGATTATTAAGCGAAATTATTGTATACTGTTTGGTCACTCGTTATGGTCCGCAATCGGTTGCCAGCGCAAGTGGTTAACGCAGAATTGTCATTCATTGCAATTATTTTTACGAAGGACTTTCGCTACGAAAATTTTCAACACTCGTTTATGGTAATATAAATTAGTAGTCAGATTTAATAATACTAGTAAAAAAAAAGTTGATCGCGTGAAAAATATCTTTTTATGCAAACGGAATATTCATGAATTATTGTACGTTTATTACAAAAATGCAGATTAGATTTGGTAATCAGGTTCATAATAAATACTCGTACATAGTTCATTCTTTTTTTCGCAAAAGAAAAACAACTACGTTGTTGCATTTGATTTTTTTATAATTAGACCAGGAAAACCTTGGAAACCGCGACGCGTATGATCGCGATCACGTGTTTAATATTCACAATCGTTTATTTGAAAACGCGTGACTGAACTAGCAAGAAAACGGATTGCATCTCGTTGCATCAGTCTTTATTATTCTGAAATTACGTATTGGATAATGTGCGCAACAGTTCGATTAGTTCGCAGAAAAATATAGTTATGCAAAAGAATTGGTAATACAATGCCACGCGTGTGTCGCATAGATTATCGCTGCCTCGTAGATAGAACTTATCGCTCGAATTACGAACTTACATGTAATTCTCATGGCCGCGAAATCCCTACACGTGTTGAAATGTTCAGGTATCGAAATCTGAGGCTCGAGATATCGTAATCAAATGTGCAAAATCTTTCGTTCACGGTGGTGAAATTGGAATTTCGTTTACTCGTTCTTATTACGTGCCTGTAAATGATAAATTGAAATACGTACAGTTTACGGAGAGATATAATTTCAGGATTTTTAATAACGTTTTAATAACGTTTGAAATGAAAGGATCGTCGAAAGATAAAGCGTACAGAAATATTTGGTATTTGACCTATCTTCTTTTACATTTTTGCATTGTAATGCGGGTAATTCTTACGTTGTGAATCGGAGTTAAATTATTCACAAAAATGACGCCGCAATAGCGTTTGTAAAGCTTGTGAAATTGAAGATTTATTGAAGCGAGGATATAATTACACGCGGCAGTGATCATCCATTAAAAAAGCGCAGCGATATAAAGAGTAGATAAATTTATGTGTACACGTTCGTTCCAGCCATCAATTTTACCTCTGAACGATTGCCATTTTCTTCCACGTTTGCTCGTATCTTTCCCTCGGATGGATTAAAGCTAAAGAGAAATAGTTGGAGGAAGAATAACGAAGCGATTGACGATCTCTTCGCCTCGTTGTCTCATTTTTTTTTCGCCAATTTGTCACAAAACTCCCGAACGCCCACGCTTTTTGTTAATAAAATCCAATGAGTCCAACTTCTCTCTCTAATTTTTCGTTCGATGGTTGTTTCAATATTTTCTGAATCCCAAAAACTACCGCCCATTTGTTCCACGCCTAGGCAATGAAAGCCTAAAAACCGAGTTTTCCAAGTGTTCGAAGCGGCGAAGAAAGAAAGCCAAAGGTGACAGGGAAATTTAAGGTTTTATGGAAAACCGAGTTTGCCTGTTTCTTCCATCGGCGTACGAACGGAGTACGAAAACCTATTTCTCCGAAAGCGTATTTCTTAGAAATTGTTTCCCTTTCCCTGTGATTCGAAAACCAAGAAAAATATCCGGGAGAAACCTGCCGTTTTGTAGAACTACCGACGGCTAAAGTATAATATTCATGGCAAAGAAATTAAAGTGCAATGTACAAGGAAAGATTGATAATACATTTATTTTATTAAAAATCATCGAATGTCAAAAAATATATAAAATATCCATAGAAAATTATAAATTGATCATTTGAACCAACTGTGTCAGAAGCTTTAGCATTAAAACTCGCATCTGCGTGAAACGTAGACTTTCCTTTTTGAATCATAGCACTGTAATCTCGTTTGCTCGTTGTCTCTGAGCAAAGAGACAAATAGCAACGGTGCGTCGTACGATCCGCAATTATTAAATCTCCGATCAGTCACTGGTATCCGAGCATCGATCCATTAAAGAAAACCAGCTCTTTGAAAAAAAAAAAAAGAAAGAAAACAAAAGAGAGGAAAAGGACTGAGAGATAAAAAGAAAAAAAAAAAATTCACCGTGGAACAACGTTCCGCGTAACGCGGTTCAATTGAACGTAATAACGCGATGCTCGGAGCCATTATCTGCTAGAAACACGGATATTAATTTCGTTATTAGACCCTCTAGCCTGGCCTCGGCTCTTTCTCCCGTTTTCTTCAGGTTGTTGCCACGTTTTTAAGGTCAGACGTTTCTTTCCCTTTTTTTTTTTTTTTTCTTTTTTCACCCAGCCGAGATGTCCGTTCATTAACGAGGGAACGGTTTCACGATGGCCGTTTTGTATTTTTCATGGAAAAGTAGAATGAGGAGGGGATGGTGGTGGTGGTAGTGATGGTAGAGTCTTTGAACGTCGAGATTAAAGAGTTTCGTTGCATTCGTTGCCGGGGCCCTTGGCAGGCTCCTTTTACGAGCGTCGCGAGACGTCGCGCTGCCACGCGAAAATGACAATCTGAATGCGAAATTAGGCGTGCGACGCTTTAATGCGGGACACACGCTATGTCTTCGGCTATGAAAGATGCATCAGAAGAACCGGGCATAGAAAACTCTCCGGGCTCGGCGCTGTGTGCGTGCGCGTCTGTGTAAAAAAGACCAGAGAGGCAGAGCCGAACGTATGCGTGCTCTCTCTCTCTCTCTCTCTCTCTCTCTCTCTCTCTCTTTCTCTCTTCTATTTCTTTTATGGGTGGAAAAATCGCGGAAAAATCGACGAAGCACCGTTCGTGGAAGCTTCTTTGGCCTTTTGTTGGCCTCTCGAGTGTGTCTGAGGAGCGTGTCGAAGTTTACGCTCAGGTTTACGCCAGTCGATTTTTGTTACGCCCAGTCGTAGCTAGCCGGCCTGGTATGCCCTGCTGCCTCTCGTTCCGGGCAACGTCGAGGTGTGTTTTCAGGTGTCGTTTGTTTAAGTTACACGGCTCTTAGCTGTTGATCTAACTGCGAGATGCGAAGGTCCCTAGAAATTCCCCGATAGCTCCACCACCGACGGAGCCGTAAAAGCTTCAAATCTGGTTCTCCAGCACTGTTGTCTTTCATCGTTGCTTCTTACCTGAGCAACGGCGACATCGAGGAACGATATCCTTGAAATCCTGTTCGTCGCAGGCTACAATTTGGTAGTCCTTTCTCTGCGAAAACAGTAAACTGTTGTATTTACCGTATTTTGCAAGTGAACAATTCTAGATTCGGATTTTAAATTTGCCATAACGTTGTTACGTTGTAAGGGTGGAATATTACGGAACTTTTATTCAAACGAGACGAGACTCCACTCGATAACAAATGTTGCAATGCTGGCTAAAATCTGCCTGCGGATCCTTTGGTCCCTGGCCAAAGTACCTTGTGGCAAATTCTAAACAACGTTGTATACTCGCATCAATCTTCGAGATTATTTCTCTCAAATCTAAATCAAAAAAAAAAGAAAAGAAAAAAAAAAAGAAAAGAAAAGAAAATATTCCATCCAGATTCAAAGAACAAGACCCGAACGGCGTGTCAAAAACTTTCTGAACAGTGAAATTTAACCAATCGGAGCGGCGGAAACGGGTGTAAAAGTCGATCGGAGAAGTTCGGTCGGTTCGAAGGCCATTCTCGGGGTGGTTAGGTCGGCTTTAAACAGCGCTCGCCTTTAATGCAGCCTCGGCCCGGGATCTACACTACGCGGCGATGTAGTAAAAATTCCACATCTGCGGGATGGAGGGTGGATCTGGTCGGAGAGAGAGAATGCTAATAGCAAGGCGCGGAAGGGAACTTTAAGACATCGTTTGTAGCCGGGAAGGGACGTTCTAGGCACGGTATTAAATCTATTTCCCTTCTGTTCCCCCCTCCCTCCCCCTTCCTCCCTCCCCCCTCGCGAAGTAACGACGCGGAAGTACCATCAAAGATTCAGTGGCTTTCGAATCATCCCCGAAATAGATGATACGTACGAGACAAAACGCGAGACG